TGGGGGCAAATGCTGGCAAGCGTTTAGAAACACGCGTTATGAGCGTCCGACGTCTATACATTTGCACGACAAGCCACTTCGTTGGGCTCATATTTTGTGTTGGTCAGCTCGCTTCTGAAAAAAGTAGCTATTATAGTTCAGTGGGCCTTACCTGGCAAAATAAAATTTACAAAAACACTTGCAAAGGGCCAGCACGGCACACAATGCCGGCTACCTTTGTCGCTCTCATTTAAGACCTATCGACCTTGGGAAGACACGGCCAAGGTTCGGATGTCAGTCACCGATGATGCCCGTTTGTGGTGGTGGTGGTGGGGGGGATCGGATTCATATTAGGGCGGTGTGTTTCGCAGATGAGTGCGTTAACCGCTGAACCACCGTTTTTTCACGCCACGCCACGCAAACCATCAGCTGTTTTCTCGTCACAAAAAAGTAAGTTTCCATTGCTCTTAATCCATGAACAGCGACACCTTTCCCCAAAAAAGTTTCGACTTAATACATCTTGTTAAACTTCCAGACCTTTGGTTGATTTCGAATGCGTGTGTGTGCGCGCGTGCGCGTGCTTGCGTTTCTCCTTTACCCACTTTATTGCCATCTGCCTCCATATATCGCTGCAGGGAAAAACTCGGTGCACACACACACAGAGAGAGAAAGAGAGCGAGGGGAGAAAAAAAACTGCACAGAGCAGCTAAAGTTTTCAAAGAAAAGCTGCACCAGGGACAAAAGAGACGTCGAGGGAATAAAGAAAAAAAATAGAGGAGCCCCCCCTCCCTCTCCTCTCTCTCTCTCTTATGTGGCACGGTTTTACTTTAAAACGGCTCCGAGCACAAAGGAAAGATCACTCTCCTTCAATTTCCATCGAGCAGCCTTGTACAGTGTTGCAAAGGGGGTGGTGGTGGGGGGGGTTAGAAAAAACCCACAATGTTTATCAAAGGGGTTAACCCAACATCTTCCAGGATTCGTCAACATTCCTCGGAAACAATATTTTAACGCACCGCGTAAAAAAAACAACGCCACTGGCAAACTGCGATGTCTTTTTGACAGTGATTTAGAACACTGCTCGGTGTATTTTTTTGGATGCTGTGCAAATATGTCTTATCAAGCCCCCTTTTGCTCACACACTCTCCAGCACCCCCCTCCCACAACCACTCTCTCAATCTTTCCAGAGTATTAAGAGATGATCCCGCAGACAAATGCCGAAGGCACGCGCACGCACACAGGCCAGACAATTTTAAAATCTAATAAGTATTGTGTATTGTGGTAGAGTGTTTGTTGTCAATAGAACGGAAACAGTCGTGGAGTGTAGGAACTACTTTTATTCGCGATTCTATTACCCGCGACAGTTGTGCGGTCCACAAAATACTCACACTAAATCCGCTGCCCATTCTCCCTGCTATCCGCAATAATCTGCGGATGTTTCCATCCGGCATTGTGGAACGGCTTCCTGTTATCCGCAAATGTTTTGCAGACAAGTGGAGTTCAACAGCAAATTCATCCTATTATCGTGGGTCTTGGACGGTCATATTCTTCTCAGCATGTACGTGGGGTAATGACATTCCAACTCCTGTTATCTGCTAAAAAAAATCGGGATAAGTGAAGTTAATCCGATTGTTCCAGATAAGTTGCGTAAAATTGTGGATATCTGAATCCATGATGTTCGTCCTCCACACTGCGAGCAAGAGTATTTCTGACGATTACTCTTTTTTTTATTCGTGGAAATGTGTTCCGATGTTTAAAATGAGCGTGGGGCAGAAGATCGCTGATGGTGGCCCTCAGAGCCAGTGATGGACATTCCACATTTGGCAGAAGCCAGTCTTGACAAGGGACACCAAGTGGCAGGCGAGGGGGTTGAGAGACACACCGCTTCAGATGTCTTGCCTCCGACGTTAGCATTGACCGAGAATCAAACTCGGGTTTGTGTGGGTCACAACGCGTCGTGCAGCTGGTGTGTCATAACCACTTCCTCGGTAAAGTTTTTTTTTTACCAATCACACAAAACGATGATTGGTTAAATTCAACCCCTGACCGGCATTTGAACCTGCAACTTTCCAGCTGTGAGCCAAGTGCTTTAACCACAAGGGCCACCCAGCAGGATACGTTAGTCTGGGGTATATATATATTTTTTGTGATCATGGAAAGCCATTTCTCTCCGTAAAAAAAGACACTGCTATTTGTATATAGCTTTGTTAAAGCGGCTAAATAATATATTACTTCGCCACACATATGCTTCCAACGGGTAGAAACATATGAACGAATTCAAACCAATTCTAGGTGCTTGCTTACAAGCGAAATACATTTCTCTAGCATGCACAAAAGCCAATGTATTTGATTGGGATCAAAATAATTACACAGCTCTCACTCAATCAAGCAAAAAATGCCACAAATTGATTGTACCCCCCCCCCCTGCCTACTGATCATCACAATAAGCCAAATTAAATCTACGGCTCACATGCGGCCTATAGACGCGGTGGCTTGTTTCGGGCGCTTCTCAAATCTGTCACGAAATAAAATCGGAGACTACCCAAAAAAAAGCGCATCACCATTGCGGCGCGGGTGTCGAATTAACGACGGAGGGCTGCGTTTGAGTCGCACATTAATAAGAAGCGGTTTAAGCATCGTGTCAGGAGGACATGCGTGCATGCGTGCGCGTTTTGTGTCTGCCATTTACAAATGGCATGTGTGGCATTGCGAAATACTCGAAATGTTATCTCCACAATTCGAACCTCAAGGTCGCTTTCAAAAAGAGATGTCATTTTTTTTCTTAGAGTCTAAAAAACAAAATCGAGGGATGGGTTTGAATGCGGGGGGCAGGGGGACATTTCCTTGCGTGCAGTTTAAAATACACACTTTTGTTTTCCTATCTTGACTCGCCACCAAAAAGGAGCGTGCCCCTCCCCCCTCCCGGACCACGGGATTATCAAGTTGCCACTTAATTGTGCCTACACGTAATATAGCTGGTAATTAAAATGCGACAGGCTAATTACAAAAAATAATTACAGATTTCTTACGCCGTCATTGACAGGAAAGGGAAGGACTTTCAACATTTTTCGGTTCACGTTTTGCGCACCCAAATTGTCCAAGTGTGCTGTTAGTGAACTACCGATTCAGGCTGGCACCGCATACATCAGGGCTAAAGGTATGGTAATCTCCACATTCACCGCAGCCACCATTGTCCCCCCACCCTTGCATACACACCGTTCCGGGGGGTATTTATTTAAGGCCGAGGCAACCCTACTGAGACCCACAGAGGTCCAGTTACCAACTTCCCACCAATTAATGTTCTGCGTCGCCATTGGGGAGTCTAACCAAGGGTCACTGGTGATTGTAGCGCAGCTTGTAAACCACTTTGCCACCGCTCGCATATACGCACAAAGACAAAGATCCCCCGTATAACCTTAACAGAATGGAGAAGCAAGTGATGTTAGCGAGCGCCTATGAAGGCCGGTACTGCACAACAGGGGTGGTGAGGTGGCCAGCACCACGCCAGACAAAGACAAAGACACCCCGTACAGCCTTAACAGACTGTTGGAGCAATTTCTGTTAGCGAGCACCTATGAAGGCCGGCACGGCACACGATGGGGTGGGTGGCCACATCACCACGCCATGCACACACACACACACTCTCTCGCTGCCAAACATAATAACAGTACAGCTCCAAGGACATTTATAAGAGGTCTGAGATTAGATGTCCCTTGTTAACATGTGTGCCTTTTGCTATTTAAGTTAATTAGCACTTGGGGTGCTCCCAAGTGGGTTTGTGTGTTGGGTTTTTTTTTGTAACCACGCCTTTTGCTCGGTGCAATGTGTGCCTTGGCTCGCTCGCTAAAATTAGCTCAGAATGCTCGACTCGGGAGAGCTGTCGCAAGACGACTGAACAAGACGAACGGGGGGAGAAGGTGGGGGTGGGTGATAAAAATTCCATGGCAAACAATACAGAGGAGGAGCGGGTGAGGGCAACATCATTTTTACTGTCCCCACGCAAACGTTACCCGCACACATAGAGACGTAATACAGAAAAAAATATACGTAAACCTTGGCTGGCATTGACAGCTTTCCCAGTGTTTCCATTGAAACAATCCAATGAACGAATACACCAGAATCAACAAGGCTATAAATACTTACTAATAGCAGGAGCACACAGTATATATAACCCTTTCGTGGTATTATTTTTGCGAGACATTGTTGACTCAACAGGCTCGCTCACATGCTGCAGACAGTTAATAATCAGTCAGTCAATCCACCGCTGGATGGATGAAGAAGCCCCCCACCCCCCGAACCCACGCAATCTCTCACGACCCTGCGATTGTATAATATTATTATTAGTAATGCCACCTCGCACTCGAGCTGATTTCATCACTCCATCTCCACGGTGGACGTTCTCTTGGACGTGATCATTACCGGGCCATCATCATCTGTACACATGACATGTCCTGTCGAGGCCCACTTAATTTTCTGAACATGGTTAAATTACACGTGCACTTTAATTTAATTTAGACAGATACGGGCAATTATCGTCTTGCTTGCATGGTGTTGTGCATTCACAAAGGCGCATGTTGACCGAAATATACTGTACAGTACTGACTTGGTGCATTGACGTTGATTCTCCTGGACTGCATTATGTGCATTATACATTTAAAACAAACATGTGCTCGTACATGCCAACAATGTATCATGGTTATAGGCACGTGTATGGATGGTATGGCGGCATCTATTGTATAGTTTGATTGTGTTGTGGGTCTTAAAAGCAGGTTTGCTGACATCATGTTAGTATTTTTAACGTTATTTGTGTGTGTGCGCGCGTTTGGAATTTATTTGGCCACAAGCGCCCAGTTTATTTCCGCAAGCAACGTAGAATTTTTTTAAAGAAAATTGGCCAAATGTATATATTTCTTAAAGAAGCAGTTTTTTTTCAAAATTCGGGTCCCGTATATATATAAAATGTTTACAAATCACATCTCAAAAAATGTAAATGATCGTGAGATGATGCGTTTGTAATCACTTACCAATCCAGTCTTGGCAGTCTTCGAGTTGGACTGAGATTCATCGACATTTCTCAAGTCCATCATCGAAACATCCACGCAGCTTTCCCGCAGAGACACCGTCTTATCCGCGGCCGAATCATCCAACAGAGCTCCATTGACACCGCTTCCACGATTAGAATTATGCTGATGGTTGACATTGTCACCACCACCACCACCATCTCCACCACCGCTGCCGCCACCACCACCACCATCATTATCATCGTCAATAGAACTATGTTGTCCACCAGCACTTAGGCTCTTCTTAGCTTTGTCTCGCTTGTTCGAGCTCCCAGATGCGCGACCTCCAACTCTTCCAAGTGTCTGTGGGCTGGATGGGACAGCGCTTTCACTCGTCGTGGTGGTTGTGGTGGGACTGCTGCTGCTGCTGGTGGTGGTTGTGATCGTGGATGTGGGGGTGGTTGTGGAGGCAGTTTCAGCTAAAGTGCCTTGCTCAGGAGACAACGGTCGACAGTTCCTGGCCTTCGAGGTTTTGTTGTTTCGTTTATTCGCCTTCACACGCCCAGTCTTCTCAGAGGCGCTGCTGCTGCTGCTGTTGTTATTGATCAACTTCATGTCTGCCGCTTGATCAGAGTCCTTATTGTCCACAATTACAGAGCCCACGCCGCTTCCTGCGTCCACGATATCCTCGCTGCACTCGCTCTCAGGGAAGCCCTTCGTTTTGTTCGTATGTTTTCTGTTGCTGTGCCGATTCTTGCGGTTATTCCCGGAAGGCGATACGCCGCTGCTGCTGCTGCTCGCGGTCTCCTCCTGCTGCTGCTGCTGTTGCTCCTTCAGCTTCTGCTGACGATCCTTTTCCAAGTCGGCGTCGAGGTCAATGATCAGATCGCCCACTCCGATTTCCCAGTCATCTCCACTGTCGTAGTGTTCACCGGACATGCTTGTGCGACCGCAGATTGCAAGCCATGCGTCCAGCCGTCTCCTATCCTCGTCTGTATCAGACCTTCACCACCACCACCGCCGCGATCACCACCATCAGCACCACCCATCCAACCATCCCATAGAACAATACCAGAGGTCCAATTCCAAAAAAAAATTTTATCCAGCATATAGAGCCTTTCCCAGACTCGTATTACGATGCCAACGATATCAATTATTTTTATTATACCGATGTCACCGCAGTGTGATATCAGTAATCGTTTGCCATCATCAGCGTCGCAATCAAGATGATATTTCCAACATCCGAGTCTCCATCATCGTCGTCACCATCATCATCATCATCAGCTGCAGCAGCAGCAGTTAGCGGCCAGACGCAATCACAAATCGTATCTCACCCCCCCCCCCCCCCCCCCACATTTCGAGTAAACGCGTCTCTCTCTCTGTTGTGGCTACATTCGCTCAATGCTATATAAAACCGACATGGTGTTAATGTAATGTAATAGCAGGCAAGGCGCCACGATCCACTTAACAATACACTCGTCTAACACACACACGCACGCACGTATGATGATAATACTACTACAATGGACAGCTCATGAAATTAATTACCCGGAATACAAAACACGTATTCACCGTGCACAGTCTATAGCAGTACGTGAATATGCACCAAATATAGTACTGTCCGGCTGACGATATTAGTTTCACGCTATCGTCTATTGATATCCACGAGCTGATGATACCGCTGCCTCTATTAATCTCGCTCCGTTTAAATGCCCTCTGTCATTGCGTTTGGCGTAGGCGGCGGCAGTTAATACCCCCAACGCAACGAATAGAGAGATATATTCTATAATGACCAGCAGATGACACGAGTTTGCCGTCCAACCACCGACATTCCGCGAACGCTCTGCTGTGAGGCTCGATTGTCGCCCGATATATACGTCTGGGCTCCGTTTTAAATGCCTTGTGTCATTATTATTATTGTTTCATTGCTGTTTGGGGTGTAAGCGCGCAGTGGTTTGTCTGTGTGCGCGCGCGCGTTTCTAAGCGCAACGCTGGGCATTTAATGCGGCCAGTTCGACGGCGATAGAGTTGAATCGCGACGAGTGGCGTTTGCGTGGCTTCATCCTTTGTGTGCGCCCGTGGCTACGTTAACGCCGGGGAGACAAAGGCGGACGGGCGTGGTTATACGGACCCCACCGCCGCTACAGCCATAGCCTAACCAGCACTTGCCCCAAACGCGCGTGCAGCCTACACGGGGGATTTTTGTTTTTGTCTTCGCATCTTTGTGCGCGAGTGTGCGAGTGCGTGTGCGTCTTCTGTGCTTATTAAGCATTCATGTATATTTGAAAATGTACGTATGTTTTTTTGATGTATTACGTCTCTATGTGTGTGTGTGTCCCTACGTGCGCGTATGTCTAGATATACAGCACGCGTATTCCATGCATAGTTATTGTACACGTTTACGTGTGTGTGTGTATATATACACACGTGTACACAGCGCTGTGCGTGTAGTCGTACGGTATGCAGTAGATACTCGCTTGCGGAAACTGCTCGTATCTATTACCATATGTACATTGTGTATGTCTTTATATATGCGAGTATACGCTTACCTTATGCGTACATCCGTCCGCGTTCATATACACACACACACAAGACGATGCTATGGGCAGCACGGCACTGCCTCAACCTTCCGACTGCGCTAAGATCCACGTTCTGTCCGAACAAGCTTCTCTTTCGTCCCACCCACTCCGTCCCAGCACCCAACCCGGCACACACACACCCCCATCCCTTATCCCTACAGCCATTTACCCACCCATCCCCCATCACCACCAGCAGCCCCCTCCCCTCCCTCCCTCCTCCCCTGCCACCCCCCTCCCCTTAGACAAACCCCTTTAAAAACCATAGCCCTGCTCCCACCATCACCACCATCACTATCACCACTCCCTTCCCTTCCTCTGTTACCCCCAAAGCTTACACAAACACCTTTAAACCAGCCGTGTTCCTGCTCCCACAATAACCACCACACCATCCTCACTCACTCACTCCCTCCCTCCCCGCCCGATACCCTCCAGCTTATTACAAACCCATTAAAACACCCATAGCGATGTTCCCAGTACTACCACACGCGCCAACCACGGAGTTTACAGAGCCTGTGCTGTGTCTGATGCGTATTCCATTGCACCACGATGGCATCTATAATGTATATAATTCGAACCTGTCGAAATGCCCCCCTCCCCCCCCCCTCTAGCTCATATAACCTTTCTGAATTAAAAAGAACAACGAGTTAAACGTTACATAAATCACAACTTTTATGGTACTGTTTGTTACCTGGCCGTTTGACGTTTTGGGCCTATGGCTCAGCAGCTACGGTTTAACAATAAACACAGGATGATCCATTTATAGATATTTCACTAATGTCCAATGACCCTGAGTCAAGATGTCTGCGTTAACTTTTATATCTTCTCTAATTCACGTGTTTTATTCCCCTATTCCCTCTGCAATGTCAGACATTAACCTTTCGACGCGCTTCTTTACAGTTCACTGCTGCGATCTGTAAATTTGGAAGTGTAAATTCACTGGGATTGGTGTCCACGTGGGAGAGAGAACGCACACTTCGTGATGATAATGGTTATGGTCTTTTTCGATCTTTGTTTCACCCCCCCGCCTCCCAATTGCAAAACAATTGATCAATTGACACATCAGTGAATGCCAAAGCAGATGAATTAATCACTTATGAGTTTTTAATTATTAAATGTGAAAGCGTGTTAATGCTGCAGTACATTTCTTCTATACTGTACACCAAATTTTCAATGCTAAGTGTCACTTCAGTTCCTTGTTTTTTTTTTAAGGCTTGACAAAAATAACTTTGGCGCACACACACGCACACAAAGACAAAGACTCCCCGTACAGCCTGAATCGACGGTTGGGGCAAGTGCTGTTAGCGAGCACCTATTAAGGCCGTGCTTGTGAAACCGGCAACCCGAGTTCGGTTCCCGCTCGCGGCCAGCACCTGTGACGTTTATCTGAACCGTTCCTGGGCCCTCCCCTAGGTCGACTCAGCCTCAAATGAGTACTTGGTGCGGTGCGTGAACATCGCCACTAAGGGAGACAAAGGCGGCCGGGCGTGGCTGCTGGCCACCCACCCCATCGTGTGCCGCTTCCAGCCTCCATGGGATGTGCTCGTTAACAGCGCTTGCCCCAACAGTCTGTTCAAGGCTATTGCGATCTAATCATATCCGTCTTCGTTGCCGTGACCTGCAGTGTTGGCTGGTTGTTGAATGCAGCGTGTTTGGGTGGACGAGACGGAACCGTCAGTCCGCTCGACCGAGTCCTCGCCATGGGGTGCAGGAAGCAGGTGGGTGAAGTTCACGGTAATCGTGACCACGGGCGAGCGATAAGCAGGTGAAGTTGATTGGCGTGAATCACCGAGTGCCTGGGCCGTCGTCAAATCAACAGAATTGCTGCTTTCATGTTTGAATGCCACGTCGAGCACCGTCGGCCGACGAACCATTGGGAATGGATTTTCTCTCTCGGGAAAAGAAGTCGTTTAAAAAGAATTTAGCATTGAAAAAATTTACCCGTAAAAACAAAGTTTTTCACTTTAAATCCTTTATATGCGTGGCGGCTAGAGTCCTCTCGTCCTCTGGCTTGAGATGGCTGCCACTTATGGGTCAGATGATTGCCTGCCACCATTAAGCAATTGGTAATTAAATATAAAAAGAAATCCTAAAAAGTGTAACATTTTGGAATTTTTTTTTCCCACTAAAATAAATTGTCACGCACAACGAGTCTGTGTGCAAAATGTCAGCTCGATTGGATCACGGGAAGTGGGTTAAAAAACGACCGAAAGATTTGCACGGTCGTAAGCGCGCAAGCAAGCAAGCAAGTGAACTTAATATAAAGGATTTAAAAAAAAAACACGCAACAGGTCACAAATTACAACGGGAGTGACCCCCCCCCGCCCCGCCCTGTGGGCAGTGCGGCGACTTTAGCAGCAGTCGGGGTACGAGGTGGGGTGGCCTCCACTCGCCCGACGATGGCGTCCGAGGTCGTTACCCTAGGAAGCTCTCGAGCAGTTGGGAAGAAGCACGTGTGTGTGTGTCCCCCCCCCCCACACACACAGTCTCAGGCCAGTATCGATCAGAATTGTATCGATAACATTGGCCAAGTATCAATGATTTCCTTGTGAGCGAGACAACGTGGAGGTTAATGACCAGGATTTTGGCATAAAAGTGCCACCACGTGGTCTAAGCCCAAAACAAACTAATATGGAACCAGTATAGTGAGCTAGGTACATATGAACTGTATTGTTCATTGATAGGGTTGTTATGTTACATCCTGCATCAACTGCTTATGTTTATTAAATGATGTGCTCATGCCAGAGTTGCGTATGTGTATACGTGGCTTGTGTGTGCGTCTTTGCATTTCTGAGCTGGAATGTGTTACGTGGTGTTCTAATGGTATTTAACTGTGTATACTATTGGATGTTGTTTGTCGAATACACGTGTAATATGTGATGTGCAGATATGGGTCTAAGTACGTGTCTGCATGGCCATAGCTGTGTGTGTCTTTGTGTCCGTCTCTCAAATCTGTGTATAACATCAGTGGCATGTTATATCCTAACCGGGCCTGGGCCTCGTTTAGGTCACTTCGACCTTTCAATAAGTGCTGTACCTGGTGCTGTGTGCAAACATCAGCACTGGGAAGACAAAGGTGGTCGAGTGTAGTTTTTGGCAACCACAAATGCTAAAGTCATCTTGCGCACCGCGAATCTCAAATATGTGATGTGCTGCACTTTCCCCACCAGCCTGTATTGGTAAAAAAATTAACCCGTAAAAACAAAGTTTTTCACTATAAATCCTTTATATGCGTGGCGGCTCGAGTCCTCTCGTCCTCTGGCTTGAGATGGCTGCCACCTATGGGTCAGATGATTGTCTGCCACCATTAAGCAATTGGTAATTAAATATAAAAAAAAATCCTAAAAAGTGTAAAGTTATGGAAAACAAATTTCACGAAAATAAATTGTCACGCACAACGAGTCTGTGTGCAAAATGTCAGCTCGATTGGATCACGGGAAGTGGGTTAAAAAACGACCGAAAGATTTGCACGGTCGTAAGCGCGCAAGCAAGCAAGCAAGTGCACTTAATATAAAGGATTTAAAAAGGCATAAGTCTATTGCGTTGATCTTTTACTGTGTACGACATGGTGTGTATGTAAACTCTGCGCGTGCCTCAAATGTGTCCCTGTAATTGATGTTTGCGAGTCTTAACTGTGTGTGTGTATCACACAATGTGATGTGTCACTGTGTGTGAGTGTTACTCAGTCTCTGCTGCCAGGTCTGCCTTACAAAAAGATAATTATTCTCCAAGGACTCAATACAGACGGGTTGATTAAGTCAGTGTTTGCCTATTTAAATAAAGCAACAAGGCTGCACTCATTTCCTTCCACCGTTGGTGGAAATTCCTCATTACTATGGCAGTCTATACACAAGACAACCACTAATGCCTTACCAAAATGTGATGCTTATTTTAATTGACCTTAATTAGGTATTATGGACTTACTTAAATTGTGATCACAATTTTCATCTACGACATTATATCATCATGAGTCATGGTCATTGCCACATTATCGAGCAGAAAGTGTGAATAAGTAAGTGGTGAGCGGTGGTGTAGCGGTTAGCGCCCTGCGCTACGAACCCGGCGACCCGAGTTCGATTCCCGCCTACGGCCAACACCGGTGACGATTTTCTGAACCGATCCTGGGCCTCCCCTAGGTCGACTCAGCCTCAAATGGAGTACCCTGGTACGTTGCAAAAAAAAACATCGCCACTGGGGAGACAAAGGCGGTCGGCAGTGGTGTTGGCCACACACATACTCGAAAACCGTGCCGGTCTTCATAGGTGCTCGCTAACAGCACTTGTCCCAGCAGCCTGTTAAAGGGTATACACGGGGGGGGTCTTTGCTGCAGTCCAGTGTAGTGGAGGGGAGCGGTAGTGTCGTGATTCGCACTGTGCTAAGAATCCGGTGGCTCGAGTTCAATTACCGCTCACAGCCAACATTGGTGACGGATGTCAGAACTCATCCTGCCCCAGAAACGACTCAGCCCTAAAATGAGAACTATAACCTGGTGCGTTGTGTAAACACTCGCATTGCGTGGCGCTTGCCACCCATGCCCTCTCGTGCCAATGCTGGCCTTCATTAGGGACAGGACTTGCCCCAGGCTATAGTGGGGGGGATCTTTGTCTTTGTGTGTCAATGTGGTTAGAGGCGCTAAATGGGTTCGACAAGGGGCTCGGAGTGTCGAGAGCGGTCTCTGCGGAACGGGCTCATGAAAGGCGCTACTGGACAGTTGGCAGCAGCCGCCTTCTGACAGCAACAAGGGAGGGATGATGCCCATAACGGCGAGCAGAGGAGGAGGGGGGGGGGTGATGTGGCACAGTGGCTAGGGCAGGTGGTGCATAGGCGAGTCACCATAATCAGTGAACCCCATAACGCATGGGTCTGTGGTCCCGTGACCTCCAGTGAGGAGGAGAGGCTTTGAGCTAAAGTGTTCCTAGCCTGGAACGAGCATCACCCTCAGTTTATTGGCGAACGGTACAACCATAACCAAGGAGCAGTCGGCACTTAACACGCAAAAAAAAAACACTTCCATCATTCTCAAGGCTATTAAAAGCTCGAGTGAATTTTCAGTCGTTTCAATCGCGAGATTTGTGTATCCG